TAGCGTCCTTGGGCACAATAGGGACAACGTATATCTGGGTGATAGGGATGTGTACAATGAGGAAATGTTGGACACCCTACAGGACAGACGGCGGCAGTCGCAATAGATTGATAATGGCTATGGCATAGATGATGCATTCCACAGCCAAGGCGCTATGTATATCGTCACAATATATATATATATACCCATTAACGCACTTTAGGTCAATCGCTGGACCACGCAATTGACTCTCACGATGCGCTACTACAGGCCAGAAGCGCGCGACGCGCACGATCTCTAAACGCGCTCACCTCTTTCGATCTCTCTGAAATGACATTTACTTTCCACATGATTTCATTCAGAATTCAGAAAAGCCAATTGGTTCACCACACAAAACACCCCACCAGCACTGAGAATGACAGGTCTCGTACTACGCTGCGGGGATCATTTTTTTTCAAATCCACCACCACAAGAGAGAGAACTCGGGGGCAACCGTCTCCAAAAAAAAAAAAAGGACAACCTAAGAAACAAAAGAAGACAAAACCAAACCAAGCTAATCGCGGTTAATATGATATAACCCAAACCTGCTGAATGCCGCCACTGCCTATTCGTACCAACCGTGTTCTATTCGGGGGAGGACGAGAGCCAACCTCCGAATGAACACTGGATTACAGGTCATATACATACCCATTGGTTTACATTGATTTATATTTATATAACCACATATACCAAATGTACATCTAACAACTGTATACATACAGTGATTAAATCCATATGCATGCAAATACACCGAATATGAAACCCATACATCTAACCAATGTATACATATAGTGATTAAATCCATATGCATCCAAATGTACCAAATATGAAACCCACAAGCATAAAAGTCTGCTAATCCGTAGACATACCTATTGTCACAAGACATGCATACAAGCAACCCGAGTACAAGGAATGAACCACTCATCATATGCCAGTGTTTTCGTAGAGTACTTTTTACCCATCTCCTACTTCCACCCTCGTTGCAAATTTCAATTGCCGCGGGGGAAGGGGGGGGAAGGGGGAAGGAAGCGGGGAGGAAGGGGGGAGGTGGGGGGAGGAGGAAGCCGCCGCGTGATAAAAACAGCCTATTTACGTAAAAAACAATCTACTGTATCTGTGTAAAAATATATTGTCACACTGAATCGGAGCGCAAAGGTATATATATAACTTTGTGACAATACAATCTACTGTATTTATGTAAAAATATATTGTCACACTGTGAATCGAAGCGCAAAGGTAAATATATAACTTTGTGACAATATATATATGACAATTTCGCCATTTCATACGTAAACTGGCCTCCGATCAACAACGAAAATTGCCTTCATCAACGATTTTCTGAGTTTTTTTTCAACTCCAGACAGTGGCACAGTACCTGCAGCAGCACTTGTAACAGTAATTGCAGAAATAACATATTATCTGTTTGGTGATGACAATATTCGAAGACCGGACTACTGACATATATTGTACAGAAATTCACTGTCAAACATATCATCAACGGCTTCGCCATACTGGTAGCATAGTATGAACGAAATCATCGCCGGCGGCTAGGGCGCCATAGAGCTAGTAGCAGTAGGATTCCAAACACTAACCGCAGTTTGAACCAACCGCAGATTACGCACATAATACAGTAATTTTGCAGTCTGCACTCACCGCAGATTACGACAGTAGCAGACATAGAGCGGACCCAGTCGCAGAAGCAGCGGTAAAAATGCCCGTAGTAGACATATTATTGTCAATTGGTAGTAGCGGCAGCATTGTTAGTTTCTCCCTCCCAACACAACAATCCGGAAACTATAGCTGCATTCAGTGCAACTTTCACGTCACATACAGAGATGTAATGACCGCCACCCTACAGCTGAGGTTCAAAGAGGACTAAGGTACTAGAAGCAGCAACATCCGCAGCAATCACGCCGCCCCACCCTAATCTGACTAAGTGCCAGCAGTGGACCTCTTGCCCGCCCACCCGCCCTAATGTGATGTACAGGCCGTTCGATGACCTAATGTCATGTACACAGGCCGCTCAATGCCCTGATGTGATGTACGCGCAACCGTACTACGCAAAGTAGTGTATTACTAACAATGTCACGTCAGTATGGCTGCATCTGGACTGAAAGTTGCACCAAGTGCAGCCGCAGGCGAAACAGTTTCGGTGGTCCTGCCAAGAACGAAGTGCCGCCTGCCCTAATGTGACATAGGGCGAGCGAACGTCCTCTATCTAGATAGACAACACCAACGTCCTCCGTTCGGCCTCGAATAGAGAACACGTGGCACGATAAACTCAAAGAAAAAGCGAGAAAGGAAGGATGATGAAAAGTAGTAGGCAGAAAAAGAAGCGGGGGAGAAAAGGCATCAAGGAACAGCAAGGAAGAAAAGAGTACAAACGAGCCTAACTAAGTTGGTTCACTCACGACTTGTTGAAAACTACAGACACGAATCTAGAAAAAGAGAGAGAGAGAGAGAGAGAGAGAGAGAGAGAGAGAGAGCAGAAAGATGATTAAAAGGAGTAGGCAGTCAGAAAAGAGAGAAAAGAGTACCAAATATTCGTGAAAAGACGAAAAAGAAGACGAAATAAAAAACGAATCACCACAGTCACATACCTGATAAGCCTCTCTCTCACTCACGACGCAGCCGGACTCCACAAGGATCTCGCCGAGGGCCTCCACTGCATTTTCCCCTTTCTCTCCAAATTCGAAAGTCTCATCGCTAAGCACATTAACTATATACTCGATGATTGTCGAGTCCACAGTTGCACCGCGAGTTCCCAACGCTTCGTCCAACGCCTTCGAGACACTCGTTTTCCCGCCAGAAGTCGACGCCATTGCCACCGAGACACTAGCGCCAGAAGTCGACGGCAGAAGCCAACTTCAGTCCGCCGGGAATCTACGCAAAAATTCCTCCTCGGTATTAGCCTCGGAATCGCGGCGTCAGCCACGTGTCAAGCGCACATCAATCCTTACAGGTGTGACCGGAATCGTTAGTAGCGCTAGCGCTTTCCTCACCCCTGGTTTCCAGGCTCTCCCTCTCACAGAGAGGGTTGCCTCGACGAGCAAAGTGTCAATCGATCACCCGTTTTACTCAGACTGACACAATTGCCTCGATCGCCGGTTGCCATCAGCTGCTACGGCGATAACTCTCTCTCTCTCTCGATTGCCGTTCCTTTCCCCTGATAAGAGGGGCTTGCAGGCTTACCTCCCAACATGCCACGTGTCCCTCAGTGGAGACGACACGTCGGAAGCCAACGCCTGGAGCCCAAAACGAAGGGGGTGAGCACACCGCACCGCGGATGAACGACAGATCGGGACAACGTCAGCACCTGAAGACGGCGGCCGGCAAACACCCCCACCCCTCCTGGCACACTTCCCAGGAAAGGAAGGGGCCCGCACAAGCACTCCCCCCAACTCCACCTTTACTAGCTTCGGGCGGAACGGGCGTTGACGAACCCCTCAGCACACGCGGGACGGACATCACCCGCAGTGATGGCCATGTTCCTCAATGGGTACTGGAGCACCCTCGGAACTCCATCCCATCACGTAAAACAGCATGAAAAAGAGAAAAAGGAAAAGACATTATCGGACGTCAACTTTCCTCTATGCCCCTCAAAGGGATGTTTACTTGCGTTATGCCCCTCAAACAGCCAGCTTACACTGGCAGGCCCATACGACCTGGATTCCTTTCCGAAGGTGGAACTTCACAGCATGCCCATTACTAGTAAGGGCAAATGGAAAATTAATGCCAACGTTTAGTACCTGTCTCTTATACACATCTAGATGTGTATAAGAGACAGTGTCTGCCCCTCAAACAGCCAGCTTACACTGGCAGGCCCATACGACCTGGATTCCTTTCCGAAGGTGGAACTTCACAGCATGCCCATTACTAGTAAGGGCAAATGGAAAATTAATGCCAACGTTCAGAACTGTGATATCTTCGTCCGTTGTAGGCCTGTCCCTACTTGTGAAACCTTGCGCGTCTCTAACAATTTTCCTAATCACAAGTTCACACGAGCCTAAGTTGACGAAGCTACCTTCAAAGGCTCATGAGCCTACCATCCCAGGCCCGACGCGAAGTACTCTTATCACGTTCTCGCGCGCATCGGTCCGGCACCGCACAAAATGGGGCGGGACCCTCCCGGCCGCGTCACGCAAGAGTTGGTCTGTTACTCGTCGCGAATACATAATGGAGCTTCTGCAAGCCGCTCCGGCCGAGTGTGCCAGCCATACCTCTCGCGAGCCCCTACGACAGAATAGGGCCTACGCGAGGCACGATTTACCTCCATCTTATGGGAGTTGTCACCTCCCTTCGGTGGGCGTATCCCCACTGAGCTACCATTCCACTGTGCGAAAGCTAATCAGTTGCAATCGCAGAGGTGGACCAGCCGATGACGTTTCTCGTACGCTGTAGCATAGGGGTTAAGCGCTGCAATACGTCTCTAGCGGACCCGCGCGCGAACTGACATTTTGGGGGGGCTGAGGTCCCAAGCGCAGCTCATTGCCGATCGACTAGGTCGCATCCCACGCACCACACGTACTGCACTCTAAAGAACATAAAAATAAAAAACACACATATATACATATATATACAAAATGACACAGAACAAATAACGCGACGACACTCCTAGTCCCTTAGTAGTCATCCCATAACTTTCCAATGCGAAAATCGGATAGGCGTCACTCGTGAGACTTTATTATAAAACCGCGCGAACGCAGGGCTAACTCATAACGACTCGCAATGCAAGCATACGCAAGCAGTCGCAATGATGACGTACTATGTAGTACCCATAATCAAGCGGTCCCTCGTGGATTTCGAGGGCGGCATTCGACACTTAAGTGTCGGCTGACACGCGCCTTGAGGGGTTGATCTCTCGACGCTAAACAACCGTCAAGTGCGGTTGAGAACCACACTCTCTTCAAGACGTTGCGGAGAGTGGGTGGTACACAGGTTCATACATGTTGTGGCAATCGTCTCTTATTGCCATAGAGACCAGTTTCATTATCTAGGGTCTGGCGAAAAAGTCAAGGAGTTTGACTTTGACAGCTATCACAGACTATAACGTCCAACCATAGAAATTATAAAAAACAAAAGATAAAAAAAAGTTTTCTCTCTTCTCTCAAACGCACAATCTGTTTAACCCTCACGCGTGGTCATAGTAGGCCGCGTGAACCCTCAAAGCATATGTGTTGACATATATATATAGGTTTATAAGTAAATGACGATCACTTCTCACAATCACAGTGGGACTCCTCACAACCATATATATGTGTGAGATCGTAGACAGTCAAATTCAAATCTGAACCACATAACATACCTGCAATCACATCAAAGAGTCGACCAAAAGTTCACGCACTATACGGAGTCAACTTCAACCAACTTCTATACTCGTACCCCTCGCTTTAGCCATGCAATCTTCAGCCTTTGCCCAACCAACCATAATTAAATACTCAGTACCTTTGTTAAATGACCATTCAATAAAAGTCCGGGTGAAAACCTTAATAAAACAACAAAAATCATCAGGGTTAAAGTCTTTTAGGTTGAGTATTGAGGATGAGTTGGAGTTGAGTCGTCGACCGACGAATCGACAACGACTTGTTATCAGTGATAACAGAAAGTGATCCTTGTAGGATCAAACTGAAACTAGTCCTAATTTTGAATCAAACATTTAGGAGGACGTGTACGACAAGACAGACCAAACCCCAAGCTAAGTCTATGAGTCCAAATCGATAGTAATCTCCATATCATAATCTACTCGAGGTTTCCCTGTAAACTAAGCCTAAGTCTATCTTTTAGTCAGTGTCTGAAGAAAAAAGTAGCCCTTTGACAGAATCTCCTTTATATAGAGTGGATTGTCAGAATTGTCACCTGTCAAAATATAATTTAAATCCTTTAAACTAAGAAAATTTCGGCAACGCTTCCTGTAGAAAAAATGTCTTTCCATAATTTATATTAACTCAAATATGAAAGCAAAAACAATTTATAATTATGGAAAGTCAAATTTTGTCTAACTCCCTGAAATAGTAAAAATTTGGCCAGCATCTCCTTTAGAAAGGTAGAATTCCCAAATTTGTACTAAGTCATATATGAACTCAAAAATAAAACTTGAGTTCAACTAAGACAAAATTTAACTTAACTCCTTAGATTTCTAAAAATTTCGGCAACGCTTCCCGTAGAGAAAGTGTTATTCCAAGATTTACACGAAACTAATTTCAGAATCTAAAAGGACTTTGACTTCTCAAGATTCAATTTTGTTTAACTCCCTTAATTAGTAAAATGTGGGCAACATTTTCTTTAAAAAGGTAGACTTCCCAAATTTATACTAATTCGAAAAGTCAGAAAAATTGGACCATGAAAAAGACAAAATCTGACTAACTCCTTGGTTTTGCAGAAATTTCGGCAGCGCTTCCCGTAGAGAAAGTGACTTACCAAGATTTATACAAGACCAAGTATAATAAAAAATCCCAGAAAATATAGAAATTGATATAAGTAAAAAAAAAACTTAGCTCAGAAAATGCAGGAATTGAAACTAACTCCTATGACTCTAGCACGTGGCGAGTTGATAAAGCAACGACCTATCAACTGAAACTCAGACTAAGTAGTAGCTGCACTCAGTCTCATGCAGGTTAAACCACAAAGGTAAGTACTCTCACCATCCCCAAGTCAATTTATCAAACAATAGTTCATAGTCTCTTAATGATTTATCTCTTTATACCCAACTTACATAGGGCATAAAGCTAGACCACCCAGACCTATGGAACATGTCTAGCTCAGTCATTGAGTATACACAAACACATGACACAACAATTTTTTTTTCCTTTGAGCATATGACTAGGCCACCCTAGTCACCCTGAACTGTTTAAGTATCCAAGTTTTATATAATTATCTGCACTTAGTCTGTTGAGGTAGCATATAACGAAACCGATCATGTTTAGCTCAAGATTCAGTCTGCCTCTCCATACCACAAATTTATTATTAATTAGTACTCTCTTCAGTTGGTGATAAGCTATAGTCAGACCACCCAAACTTATGAAACCTTGTCTGACTAGTCTGTTCATAAGTAGGATAATAATAAAGTATAGTCAAGTTATAGCCTTCAGGTTCCAGCATGTGCGTGGCGTTAGACCAAGACCACCCAAACTTATGAAACATGTTTTGGTCCTCAACCTGGTTCATTTCTCTTAAAGCCAAAGCAGAAAGAGGTTGAGCTACCCAAACTTATGAAACATGCTCAGACTTCCTCTTTCATAAATTAAAGAAACGGAAAAAAAAACAAATTAAACAAGGCAACCAAGCTACCCAAAGTTATGGAACATGCTTGGTCCCTGAAAAGGTCGATCACAGTCAGCCTTCACAAGTCAGAGCAACCAGACTAACCAAACTTATGAAACATGTTTGGTTCTCCAAGCAATTCAAACTAAACATAGCATCAGGCCTCCCCAAACTTATGGAGACTTGCCCAACCTCTGATAGACCCAGTCAAACTCAAGCAATACTGCCTTCCTCCCATACTTCCCCCAGATGCAACCCCACAATCTGCTTTCAGTCAAACAATGAAAACTGAAACTGACATTGTGCATACATTCCTTTACTTACTATAATTTTATCATGAAAGTCAAACGTAAAGTTCAGGTTATTGGGCATGCCGTATATTCAGTCAAAATGCAACAAGGAATACAGATAAGAGTTATAACCAGGTTTATAGAAGGAAAGCAATGATTACCTCTCAGTTTGCTGCCTCCAGAACTCCTCATGAGTTCCGGCAGAGCTCCCGCAATCGGTGGGATGACTCCCCACAGAGTTTTGCTAAGGTCCTACGGGTTGCAATCCTACCTGCCGCCTTGCTCCCAGAACAAGACTAGACTTAGATTAAGAAGGGCAGAAGTAGGGGTTTGAGACTCTCGAGATACAAGAAGGGGACAAACTCAACTCGTAGGAAAGAGTCTTGAAATCTTGATATGCCTGAGGGCCCCTCAATGATGGCCAACGTCCGCAACCGCTAGTCAATACTGAAGTCAAATTGCGGACAACCAGTACCCTAACAAGTTTTAAGTCGCAGCGATACCCCCCCTCTCGAGCCTGATTACGCCACCAAACCTCACTACCTTGATTTCAGATAGCCCCGTCGCCTGACAAATAGTACACACCTCCTTCACACTTCATCAGAATGCTGACGATGCGCAATAACACTCAGCAAAACACAGCGTACTCAGTTAATTGTAGTCAAACTGCCACTTGTTGGCTCCCCGTTGATCCTTCCAAACTCAACAGATCTCCCCCTAATGACTTAGCCACTTCGCCAAGTTCGTGGTCCAAAGTACAGTGGCACATCTCCAGAGAGCCTCACCGAGGTAAGCAACCCACGCAACTTTGTCGCTGGCCTTCATCCACCTCGTGCGGTTGAACG